ATTGTTGTGGTGGGGTACGATCCAAGTGAGATTGACATATCTGGAGCCAACAGATACTGAGGAGACATTGAGAGGCTCATCAGGTACAGCTACAAGTAAAAAGAGAAAATAAAATTAAAATAATTAAGTTATGTATAGATGCACAGTAATATTATTTCACTTCTTTCTGGTCCACTCTAGGCAATATAGTGTAAAAATTAAATATAGTAATACTAGCAATTAATATGAAATATAAGAAAGCACATTATAGCTTAATGGAAAATAAATAGATCTATAGCTCTTTCTGTTACAATTAAGGACTTACTCTGTACTAGGACCAAAGCAGGTTGACTGGGCTCATCGTCGAATAAATTATCGATGATAGCTTCACAATGATACAATCCAGAGTCTGATATTGTAGTGTCCTTTATAACCAGCCGGCTTGAGACAGTACCAAATGGGTCTTTTATATCACCTACGTCAAGACTAACCCCAAAAGGATTCCGAATGTCCAAGCTATCTCCACCAGATCCAAGGCTAAAGTCAGAGAAACCAGAACCTGAAAACTCTCCCATAGAATCATAACCTGGTATCAAGGTTGGACTATTGACTGTTGTTATTGTAACACGAGTATCAAACTGGGGAAGGATTAGAGTATCATTGAGGTACCACTCAACTTGAGGGAAAGGATAACCAGATACCAGACAGTAGAGGGTTATGTTCTCAACTGCTAGTGTCACATTTTGTGGACAAGGATGAATGAGTATCTCAGGAGCAACTAAGAGAACAAAAATGAAGAGAAAGTGTAAAAGAATAAAGAAACAAAAACATAATGAATTATTAGTAAATAGTGATAATAATTTTTTTAATTATAATGATAATTAAAAGAAGATAAATATTACATAAAATGTATGTATTGGCTTACCATTAAGTGTAGAAATGGCATAATCATAACCAGCCTCATTACTTACAGTGCAAGTATAGGACCCACCACGACTAGCATGACTGGTAACATTCAGTTCACTAACATTTGATAATCTCTGACTAGTGCGGTCATAGACCCAATAGTACATGTTGTTTGGTCCACCAAGAGATAAGCAGTTGAATGTTACTGGTGTATTAACAACTGAATTAGTGACATTAGGATCAGTCCTCGTACTGTGTAGAGGTGAGACTACACAAAAATAAATTGTGATTATAAAGAACATGTTCAATATAATTCTACAAAAATGCAATTTTGGTTAAAAATCTAGTTTATCAGTAATGCAAGTATTGCAAGTATCATGAGCAACTAGTCCATGAGTATCAGAAAATGTAATAAAAATTAGGAGCCATTTTGGAGCCATTTTTGGGGGAAAAAAACCATGGGCTAATGGAAATTGGCCACTTTTAAAAATGGCCATAACTTGAAAAATTTAAGTCAAAATTAGTTCAAACTTTCTACACAACATAAGTACATCAGTATGTATCAGAAAATGTAATAAAAATTGGAGGTCACTTTGGAGCCATTTTTTGGAGAAAACCATGGGCTATAGTACAGGGATTTTTTCGGAAATTGGCCAATTTTAAAAAATGGCCATAACTTGAAAAATTTAAGTCGGAATCAGCTCAAACTTTCTACATAGCATAAGGACATCAAGACAATTGGCTTTATAGCTCTAGCTCTAAAAAAGCAATACACTTACCAGTAACAAGTGCTGGAGTTGATGTAGCATTCTCTTCTATACCATCAGCAGTAGCTACACACCTGTACATACCATACAGGTCATACTCTATATGTAAAGTCAGTTGGTAGCTAGTTTGACCAGTCAATGGCTCAAAGTACCCACTGGTTCTATTCATCATCTCCCACTGATAGTTAGGGGCTGGGAAGGAATCAGCACGACAATTTAATGTAACAGTGTCACTGACATTAGTAAAGGCTTCCCTAGGGTCCTCTGTGATGACTGGTATAACATAAAGTGTCGTAGTGTTGCTCTCCACTCCAGCAGGATTCACCACATAGCAAGCATAATTACCACCATCTTCAGTAGCATTGATAGAGTATAGAGTAAAAGTAGGCTCATTGGATAATGTAATGTTTGATAGCTGATCAATTATGTCATCTACTTCAATCGGAGAGTCAGAATTAAGTAGTGAACTAACTGATGGATTGTTAGATATTAGAGAGTCAAGAGCTGATGGTCTCAGCCATATAAATGTATTATTGGGTCCTCCTCTGGATAAACAATTGAATGTAACGTCAGAACCATTTTCAGTTATGATGAAATCAGGATCAATAGTGACACTGCTATTGGAGGATACTATGAATGGAGAGAGAGGGGGTAAAGTTCAATAGTAAGTTTTGGTAGTGATAAAAGTGCTATAGCAACAGTAACTCACCAGTAATCAGTGCTGGTTGTGAGTATATTCTTTGATTAATGATTGGTGTAGTTACTGCACAGCGATACATACCAAACTGATCATAATCAATGTTTTCAATAGTGTAACTGGTCATCGTCTCTCCATTAATATCTTGATACATATTAGTATCAGTGTTTAATACCTGCCATTGATAGGTGGGAGGAGGGTAGGAGTCAGCCATACAACTAATAATAACAGTATCTCCTGGATGGGCATATTGATCCACTGGGTTTAATGTTATTACTGGTGACACATACAGTGTAACATTATCAGTATCATAACCAGCTTCATTGACTACTATACAAGTATAATAGCCACCATCTGCTGCTCCTCCACTCACAGTAAATGAGAGAAAGTAATCTAATGTGATGTTATCTAAGTCATCCAAGAACTTGTCAACATCAAGAGGAACAGGCTGATAAGAATCATTAAAGATTCCTTTGATCCAACGGAACATGTTCCCAGGTCCACCTTGAGCTCTACATGTGAAGGTAGCAGTATCACCAATGGATACTGTACGATACTCTGGAGTAGCATTTACACTACCAAGTGGTGATACTGTAAAGGAGAAACGAAAAGGTAAATGAAAGGTAAATTATGAAAGCTCAATTGCTACAATTATTATAATTCTTACCAGTAACAAGTGCTGGAGTTGAAGTAGCATTCTCTTTTATACCATCAGCAGTAGCTACACACCTGTACATACCATACAGGTCATACTCTATATGTAAAGTCAGTTGGTAGTTAGTTTGACCAGTCAATGGCTCAAAGTACCCACTGGTTCTATTCATCATCTCCCACTGATAGTTAGGAGCTGGGAAGGAATCAGCAGAACAATTTAAAAACACATATTGTTGATCAACGTTCACATATTGTGCCACTGGATTTGTGAGTATCTGTGGCCTTACAAGCAAACTAACATTATCAGTATCATAACCAGCTTCATTGACTACTATACAAGTATAGTAGCCACCATCTGCTGCTCCTCCACCCACAGTAAATGAGAGAAAGTAATCTGATGTGATATTGCTCAAATTATACAAGAACTGTTTGACATCAAGAGGAGCAGATAGATTAGGATCGGTAAAGTTTCCTTTGATCCATCGGAACATGTTCCCAGGTCCACCTTGAGCTCTACATGTGAAGTTAGCAGTATCATTAATGGATACTGTACGATACTCTGGATCAGCTACTACACTGTCCAGGGGTGATACTATAAAAAAGAAAGAAATCATGAAATAAAATCAATGAATTTCTTATACTGTATTTTATAAATAGACTCCTTACCAGTAACAAGTGCTGGAGTTGATGTAGCCTTCTCTTCTATACTATCAGTAGTAGCTACACACCTATACATGCCATACTTCTCATAACTGATGGACTCCAGTATTAATACGTAACTAGTTTGACCATTCAAATGCTCAAAGTACCCACTGGTTCTATTCATCATCTCCCACTGATAGTTAGGGGCTGGGAAGGAATCAGCTTCACAAGTTAATGTAACATTATTTCCAACTTCTGCATATTGTGGCATTGGATTGGTGAGTATCTGCGGCCTCACTAGCAAACTAACATTATCAGTATCATAACCAGCTTCATTGACTACTATACAAGTATAATAGCCACCATCTGCTGCTCCTCCACCCACAGTAAATGAGAGTTCGTAGCCTGATCGAAAAATGCTTAAACTATTTAAAAATTGGGTGACATTAAGAGGAGCAGTCAAAGTAGGACCATTAAAGTTTCCTTTGATCCATCGGAACATGTTCCCAGGTCCACCTTGAGCTCTACATGTGAAGTTAGCAGTATCACCAATGGATACTGTACGATTCATTGGATCAACTACTACACTGTCTAGGGGTGATACTATAAAAAAGAAAGAAGTCATGAAATGAAATCAATGAATTTCTCATACAATACTTTATAAATAGAATCCTTACCAGTAACAAGTGCTGGAGTTGATGTACCATTCTCTTCTATACCATCAGCAGTAGCAACACACCTGTACATACCATACAGGTAATACTCTATATGTAAAGTCAGTCGGTAGCTAGTTTGACCAGTCAAAGGCTCAAAGTACCCACTGGTTCTATTCATCATCTCCCACTGATAGTTAGGAGCTGGGAAGGAATCAGCACGACAATTTAACATCAAATATTGTCCAACATTCACAAATTGTGGCACTGGATTAGTGAGTATCTGTGGTATTATTAATAAACTAACACTTCCATTATCAGTTCCAGCCTCATTGACAGCTATACAGGCATAATCTCCACCATTAGTTCCATTAACATTTTGAAGTGATAACTCTAATGAAGGGGCAGTCTCAGAGACTATTACATCCAGTGAACCAATGAAAGTGTTTATGCCAATTGGTGTTTGAGTGGATTGTACATTTGTTCCATTTCCTCGTATCCATACTAGAGTTGTATTAGGACCACCACTGACTTCACAAGTAAAGGTAGGGGAAGAATTTCTGGAGACTATTTGAGTAGCAGGTGTAGCATTTAAACTACCATATGGTGACACTAGAGAAAGAGAGAGAGAGAGAGGGAGAGAGAAAGTAAAATTAAATAACAAATCCCTTTACTAATAATACATAATATTATATTTCTAACCTACATACATATTCCTAACCTGTTACAAGTGCTCCTCTTGATACTGCTGTCTCAGTGATACCCTCAGAGCTTGCAACACAGCGATACACACCAAACTCATCAAAATCAACGTTATTGAATCTCAAATTGGAGGAAGTCTTGCCTGTTATCTCTTCAAAATTGCCACTAGTCTGATTCATCCTCTCCCACTGGTATGTTGGCGATGGAAAAGCATCTGCTAAACACGATAGCATAAAATTATCACCTTGCGTTACTAATCGATCTTGTGGATGCAACGTTATGATAGGAGCCACATACAGTGTGGTCTCAACTGTACTTGTACCAGCTTCATTGATGACTACACATGAGTAGTTACCACCATTTCTTGTAGCGTTGATGTACTCTAGAGTAAGCTGAGTGCCATTTTCTATAATAAGAGGACCAGCTGCATTGAGAAAACCAGTAACGTCTATTGGTATCATTGTTATGCGACTCATTAGATCAGCCTCATTGGCTATCAATCCAGTGGCATTAGAGAGAGTCCAGAAAAAAGAGTTGTTAGGTCCACCTCTAGCAGAACAATTGAATGAAATAGTACTACCATTTGTTGCTATGGTGAATCCTGGATCAATTTCAACACTACCACTAGGAGATACTGTAGAGGAGAAAGAAAAAGCAACAGAGAGAAGAAAATTGGTTGAGAGAAAGAGTGAGACATAGGAAAAAGATGAAGAGAATGAGTCAGTAGAAGTACAAAATAATGAGGAATTTCAAAACAAGACATGATGAGAAGTAAAATAAATAAACACAAAGGAAGGAAAACAAAAAGAATTTAGAACACTCACTCGTTAATACAGCCTCATTAGACCTCACTGTGTCCATTACAGCTGTAGCATTGCATCTGTACCTCCCATTGTCTTCATACACTACGCTATCAATTGTCAAATATTGCTCGTTTTCATTTGGTATTATGTAAAACTCATTTGAAGATCCATTGGATCTCTCCCAGTAATATTGAGGACTGGGAAAAGAATCAGCTAAACACCAAAACGTAATGCTTTGACCATTTTCAGTAAAAGTGCTCACAGGATCCGTAATTATCTCTGGCCTCACTTGCAATATAGCTGAAGAACTACCAACTCCTGCTTCATTAAGAACCAGACAAGTATATGTACCACCATCACTTCCATTAACAAATGTCAATGATAGACTTGAATCATAATCTACTATAGGTAGTGAGTTAATTATGTATGAGACATTAACTGGAGCATCAAGACTGAAAGACGATGAATCAAAATTTCCTCTAATCCAGACTATATTATTATTGGGTCCACCTTGAGCCAAGCAAATGAATGAAGCATTCCCATTTCTGGAGACTGCTTGAGTACTGGGTAGAACTACTACACTGCCTCTTGGAGAGACTGTAAAAGAAAAAGAAATAAATAAGTGAGTATAAATATTATAATTATTATAATTTATAAAATAGAAAAGGAAATAAAATATTATCCAGCTAATCATGTAGGGCTGTCATATAACAATAGTAAAATTAATAAATAATAATGGAATAAGAAACTGTGTAGCATAAATAAAAATGTTAATGATGATTTTGATAATGGAGCATTACTTGTGATCAATGCTGGACTGGAAGTGATTGTATTGTCAGTTCCATTAGCAGTCACTATACACTGGTATGAAGCAAAACTAGTATAGCCAACAAACGGTAATCTATAAGTAGTAGATACTTCACCCGTAAGTGTAGTAATAACATTAGAAGAAGAAATCCTCTGCCACTGGTAGGTAGGAGATGGGAAAGACTCACCCACACAAGTAAATGTTGGTCTCTCACCAACTTCAGCATACTGAGGCTGAGGAGGTGTAACAATGAATGGGTTAACGTGGAGCACTGCATTAGCACTGTCAATTCCGGCTTCGTTAAACACAAAACACGTATAACCACCTCCCTCATTTGCAGGAGAGTTCACGATGAATGACAAAAGGGACTGGTTAGAGACAGATATGTTAGTAAACTCATTTTGTATGTCCTCAACTGAAATAGTACCATTTGTGTTAATATTGATAGCATCGGAGGTTTTGGTCCATATAAACATGTTGTTAGGGCCACCATCAGCTGTGCAGTTGAATTGAACGTTTTCATTATTGCTGACTGTTGTGAAATTTGGCTCGATAGAAATGTGGGTAGGAGAAACTAGGAAATAGAGAGGGAGAGAAGTAGGAAGGAGGTAAGATGAAAAAGGGAGATAGGCAGATTAAAGAGGAGACAAAAAGGAAACAGTTGTTGATATTGTAGGCATAAAAACATTATAACAAAAAGAAACAGTCATGGCTGATTGATTGTTAGCTTATTCTAAAGAACAACAGCTCTTTTATTTGCTATTGTTACTTTGAGACATGGTTTTCCTGACAATCAGACTCTCACTACACTTTCTGAAAGAGTCGAGGAAAGAGTATTTTCAATGCCCATTTCAAAAGAAAATTTAAATATTACAAGAGGATGGTAATGCTCCTGTTTGTCTGTTTTCTAAAGTAGATATGTGCCGAGAATTCAAAGAGGAAATGCTAGCTGATCTACCAAGTCCAACTAAGGAAATAGAAGCCACAACTTTAATTGATGTCACTAGATAATGCAATTATTAATTTGTCTGACAATGTATTTAGTGCATGAAAGGATTACAGGAGTCATTTTAGCAAGAGAAAGGTCAGATGTATCCCCCATTATTATGTAATTTTATTTTTTAAGTTTTTAAGATCATTTTATTGTACACATAAGAAGACATACAATAAAGAGAAGTGTAGTAACATTTTAATTCAACAGAAGGTACACCAAATTAGCACAAAAAGAATCCTACTCATTTTTTGTATTTACAATAATTATATTAAAGACATGCATTCTTTGAAATTGTAAATTCCATGAAAGCTATGTTGAGAGCCTTAGCAACAGCATAGACATACTACTATTACTATAGTGGAATGCTCTAGGGAAAATAACAGGCAGGCACACCTATACATAGTGATATTTGTGCTATTTGGGTGAAAAATAACAAGCTTAGAATTATAGTGTTGTTCTAGTATGCATGTATAATTTTAGTTATGGTTACAGTTAACATACAATGAAATAGGCAAATTATATAATTATAGTATAGTATCAGTATTTGAAAATAATTCTAGTATAGTATTAGTTATAGTATTTTTCACTCAAATAATTATAGTATTAGTTTCATTATTGATTACTAAAATTGTTGTACTTATACTACTAAAAAAATTTACTTAGTTCTATAGTACCGTATAGGGGTTTTATTTTGTTGGTATAAAATTTCGCAAATTTGTCCAGATTTGCCATTTATTGGTATAAATTTTCGCGAATCCTACCTTCTGCAGCCATTTTTTCTAGTGTGCCACACCTCTTTTGTGGAATTTAATTTTACAAATTTAATGAAAACATAAAATTCGCGAAATTTATTTCCAGTGAAATACAACCCCTATACGGTATTTTATTAGTTTTAGTACTACTCAAATGCCTATCTCATGTGCTCAACATGTGTTCGAGCCACACAGCTGCCATGTGATTTCAAGAGAGAAGTTTTAAATTCATTAAATGTTTAATGGGTTAATCTGTTAGTCTACTTTCTGTCTTTGTTAGCATAGTATCCATTCAGTACTACATTTAATACTATAATAATACTAAAATTTGTTTTACTGTTAGGTACTACTAATAAATAATTTCAGTAACTTGAACTATAGTATAGTATAGTTCAAGTTACTGAAATTATTTATAGTATCAATAAAGAAAATAAATTTTAGTATAGTATTAGTTTTAGTAGGTTCTATTTGTGAATGAAATAATTTTAGTACAGTGATAGTTATAGTATGTTTACTATAACTAAATTAAAAATGGGGTACTATAATTAATATATCATAATTATGACATCATCCTTTGATGTGGTCGGGTTTATATATTTTTGTATATATACCTGCCATTCAGAAATGCTGTCATCATTATGAAATATATCTTATATAACATACTAGAACTGGTCAATATACAAAAGATATAGACCTTTGGTGGGTGTCCTCGGATGTGATATAGCCCTCTGGCCTGCGGCCCTTGGGCTATATCACATCCTTGGACACCCACCTCAGGCATATAGACCTATTTAGTATGATATATATTATACTTAGTTATAGTACCAAAATACTAGAACAACACTTAGTGTATCATTCACAAATGATTCATGATTTATAGTCAATTGGTACAAACTTTCTACAAGAGCATCAATAATACAAAAGAATATAAATGTGGTACATGTTTGCACTTATAACTTTATGCATGTTGCTTGAATGCATGAATGTTAATTTGAGAGGGGCCAGTTATACTAAGACCTAGAAGTAATCACACATATGCATGCACTAAATAGCAATATAAGGGCCAGAGCTTACTTTGGGATTTAACTTCATTGCAAGTCAAAGTAACAAGGACTACAGCAATAAATGCCAGTCTCTTCAACATGATTTCTCTCTCTCCTCAGTACGATCTAATAATAACTTCGACTGTAGGCAAGAGCAGTGAGTTGCCAGGACTTATAGAAGAAGGTGCACTATAGGCTGGTTTACATCAAAACGGGTTGCTTTTTGTGTACTTGCGTTAGGAATGAGCCTATTATGCCAGCATAATATTAGGGATGATAGGAGCTTCCTCAGATGAGGCATAATTCTGGAATAAATTAGATCGATATAGGTAGGATAATGGGTGGGATTAAGGTTAATCATCTGGGTTAATTAATGGTATCCACGCAACGTCATCAAATCGCTTCCGCATCCGCCCGAGCGTCCCATCGAATTGCCGCGCCGACGTAAAAAAGAAGAGGAGTCTGGCTAGGAAATTAATACTAGACTCTATGTTGGCAGCTAGGTTACACCACTGCAGACCAATTCCCCAATTTTGCTACAGTCATTTGGGTGGACAGCTGCGAAGAATTTGGTATGGTCTGGCAAGTGAGACCATAGTAGACACCATGGTGAGACTTAGGCCACGTTTACACTACTCCGTTTTCATTGAAAAACGGAGACTTTTAGTCACGGATACGGGTTTCGTTTACACTAAAACACATGAAAACGGATACTTATCCGGAGACATTTGAATACGAATACCTAAGCGGATACTTCTATAAACGAATGATAAGTTCCAATGAAAACGCAGCTGCTGGACTAGTGTAAACACCTGAAAACAGTAATAGCAAAAACTATTCGGATTCAGTGGAGCGGAGTAGTGTAAACGTGGCCTTAGTTGCCACTTTATTAAGGACACCACCCTTTTAAAACGCAATTTTAAAACACCTCATAAAAATTAATGACTTTATATGCAGATCAGATATTTAAATCAAACTGATACAAATTTAGTCTAACTAATATAAAAAACAAGACAAAATCAGCAATAAAAATAATAATGCGAGCTGTAAATATCATAGCAGTTCTTCCTACAGCTCTGTCTCCTCATCAGCAGGATTCTTTTTATCAGAAGATCCTTCAGAGTTTCCTTCACTGCTTGCCTCTTCAAGAGACTTGGGCCTGGCAACAGCAACTCCCTCAATCTTTCCAAGTTTCAAAGCCTCAACAAGAGCATCATGAATGAAAACATACTCAATCTATGTTAAGAGTGGGGGCAATAGGAAAGAATAATTAAACCTCTTATAGATTTTTGCAATTACAAACAAATCTTTCTTCTTAAATAATTAGTTGCTCTTTATGCTTACTTCATTCATAACCATCATAGGACGACACTTCCTCATGTACTGCACATTATTAAAGATATCAACCAATTTCTCTGACTTGATGCGAGCCATCTCAACCATAATAGCAATGAATGTACCAGTACGACCAGTACCAGAACTG